GTCTAAAAATAACTATGATGTGTAATGATGTATTAAAATGTCATCTTGAAAAATTTTGCAGTTTAATTAAATATTAGACAAACGTTACATTACGAAAATCATTGGTATTTTGTATGAATTTAGTATATTAGAATTAATATATTGATAAAATATACCTCACTTTGTTTAGACATATAAGTGAAAACATTAAACACTCTATTTTCATGGTAAAATTTGAGTATAATTATATATTACATATTGAAGGTAAACTGTGTTATATAAATATTTAAAAAAAAATTAGAATTGTGAATAGTGTTTTTTATAATGATTGGTGTGTGCTTTATTTGAAAGAGATTAAATTGAAGGATATTTCTAGAATAAGCTGTTACAAAGGATAAAAAAAGAATAATAGTTCAATAAGTGTCTGATGATAGTCGGCCATTATGTCTTGCCACTGCCAGGTGGATTAGGCGTTGCACTGCCGTTTCCGTCGCACTTATCAGTACCACCTATTGGACCTGATGGTCCAGTGCATTCATATGGTGCGTCGCATGTCGAATTGTTGCATCCTAAATTTCCAGACGTTCCCGGGTTTGCAGAATCATTGTCCATGGCTGTTGTTGTTATTAAAATGTACGAAAGGCGATGCCACAGATAAATAATATAAGATGAAAATATCTAAAAAAAAGTATAGCAAAAGTAAAAAAAGGGAATTCATTCTTTAACCAATCCAGTGATGATGGTACTCGGATGTCTATAATGGCTGCGTGTCAATTCATCTAAAACCTACCTTTGCAGTGTAACATATAACTAACTATATATACATACTACGGTAGGGTCCTGCGGGAACGATTTTTTTTCATTCCCGTTTCCCGTTTCCGTTCCCGAAAGAAAATTTTATTGTTCCCGTTTCCCGTTCCTGTCAAAATATTTTTGTTCCCGTTCCCGTAAGCAGTATTGAAAAAATATCATCTTTGTACACTAGCTTCTTGCGACACCTTACAGTGTTCAGTAAAGTAAATATGATATGAAAGTAAAGCTAAACTTATGATTGGAACGTCGATTGGCTAAAAATTCTCTGTGTGAAAGCCAATTGTGCAGACATATACAAATATATAGGAATCAAGATAAGATAATTTACGGGAACATGAACTTTTGATATCGTTCCTGTTCCTATATTCCCGTTCACGAAGTTATCACGGGAATTCGCGTCCCCGTTCCCGCAGGAAAACGGGACGGGAAAATGCGGGAAAAAATCGTTCCCGCAGGGCCCTATACTACGGACAACACGAACGGCACTACAGAGAGATGCAGGAAGGGAAGAATTGATACTATAGATGGGACAGGTATATGGCCTAACCGAAGGGTAGGTCATAACAAGAGAAACATCAACATTTCTCTGTTGTTTTCTGCAAGCTTATTGAAAAGAATAGAAAAGCTTCTTCTTGTTCTTTGGAAATCAAAAAGAAACATTGTATTCGGTACACAGGATATAGGATAGTCAATAGCTTTTATTTATTTATTTTTTGTTCAACTGTCGACTCGGTCTCTGAGTCCTGACTTTGGAATGATTTGAATGTAATCAAAAGAAAAAGAAACCATTGAAAAGAATAAAAAAAATAAAACGACAGAAAAAACAACCCTATTTTAAAAATTGTTTCTTTTATACTGCATCGATATTTTTCTCCTATTAAATTAGATCGCAGAGAGCAGATACTTTTTTCTTCATCTTTAACTATTAACGAAAAACAGTAAAGCCATCTGCCACACCGAACAAGATGTGTGTAGCGATAGTACTATTTTTAATTTCCCTCACCAATGCTTCTGTAGTAAAGCAGATTCTTTCTCCCTTTTTTCTATTATAAAGAACTTTTTCTGTCAATCTCAGACTCCGAATCAGACTGACAACTATATCGTACATTTTGAACGAACTACATCTATTACCTTAAAAAGAAGCAAAAGAAAAGAAATTTTTTTTAAAGCATAAACATCATACATTAAGAAATTAAAAATATACTTACACAAACAAGGAAAAAAAACGCGTATGTATCAACTTACCTTAGCAACTCAAACGCAATTGTTATTTCTTTATTACATTATTTTTGCTATCTATTCCTGCTCACAATATAGATCCTTCTGCTCTTTTTTCGTTTTATCGTGGTATAGTCACGGCAAAAATTATTATAAACGGAGTACATTTTTTTTCTTCTTTTGTATGATCGAAAAGTTATTTTTATCCTACTGTGTTCCTATGCTACATGGACGTCTTTCTCTCTATCTCTCCTCTTTTATATTTCTGAAGCGAGCTCGATTATAAGTACACTCATTACTATATTCGTAGGATTTTAGGTATTTTAAGACCCAATTTCTTTAAATTATGATCCGCAGTATTTGTGAGGTTCTCGCTAGTGAGGTGTAGATGTAGACTGACTTCACCCTCCAATATAATCTTAGATTGAAAAGTGAACTATATAGTCTGGATCCAAAGACTATCGAGAGGGAACTCACTATAAAAAGTGCCTACCGTGTCTCGTATAAAGTGAAAAGAATAATGATGGGGATATGAGTATTTTTATTGAAAGCAACAAGAACTGGCAAAAAAAGAGAAAAACAACTCTATATATAAGAAAAAAGTAAAAAGGGAGAACCAATCACGAAACAAGAAATGGCACTATGCAATTAAAAAAGAAATGAAATTATGTAATAACCAAAAGAAAAAAGAGAAATGAAACTATGCAATAACCAAAAGAAAAAAAATACGACGCAATAGAAGAACGTAAGGGTCTGGGTATAGGTGTTTTCTACTGCAGATATTTTCATGCCGATCCACACCCACACCAATCCTTAATCACACGCATAGCAACACCCATATCCACATTCACACCCACACCTACACCCATGCTCAAGATAATTTCAGTAAACTTCATTCTACAAAACGGAAAAGTACAAAAAAGTATCAGTAATATATATATATATATATACACTTTCCTCTTCGAATTTTTACACGATTGCATTATCTCTGTTCCCTTCTTATTAACTTCAATAAATACTCATAAAATAATTCAGGAACCAAACTGTTATCTGTGTCTCAGCATATACATAAGAAAATGAATTAATCAAATAGCACATTTTTTATGAATTTAGCCATGTATGTTTTGAGTATAGCTTGTAATACACTTTTGTTATTAAGAAAACCAAAAAAATGTTAATCATAGAAAAAGTATTTTGACTAAAAAAATAATTTTACAAAGAAACGTTGACTTTTTGCCGGTACTGAAATGTGTGATGCCATTGTGAATATTAAATAATAGAATATATATTTTTCAGTTAGTTGGTCTACGTACTTCTATCATTATTGTTTGCAAATAAACAAAACTGTTCTCAAAACTAAAAATAGTTTTGATCCAGTTAGGGTCCTGCGGGAACGATTTTTTTCATTGCCGTTTCCCGTTTCCGTTCCCGAAAGAAAATTTTATTGTTCCCGTTTCCCGTTCCTGTCAAAATATTTTTGTTCCCGTTCCCGTAAGCAGTATTGAAAAAATATCATCTTTGTACACTAGCTTCTTGCGACACCTTACAGTGTTCAGTAAAGTAAATATGATATGAAAGTAAAGCTAAACTTATGATTGGAACGTCGATTGGCTAAAAATTCTCTGTGTGAAAGCTAATTGTGCAGACATATACAAATATATAGAAATCAAGATAAGATAATTTACGGGAACAGGAACTTTTGATATCGTTCCCGTTCCTGTGTTCCTGTTCACGAAGTTATCACGGGAATTCCCGTTCCCGTTCCCGCAGGGAAACGGGACAGGAAAATGCGGGAAAAAATCGTTCCCGCAGGGCCCTGAGTACTGATCTTTACTGAAGAAGTGAATATACGATGTTTTCAAAGTTACCGATTGTTGATGTTTATGTTTAATGCAATTAAAAGATGGAATAGTACAGATTATAGCTTTTGGAAAACTGTATCAGACCATATGTTTACATCTGAAAATAATGTTTTTTTTCTATTATCTATAGTGGATAGAATGGGATCGATATAGAATAAATAGTGTAAGTATTAGCATTTGGGGTATCGATAGCATATGATAAACTTCGAAAATGTTTTAAAACTAGCCTAATTGATATAGTTTATAATTCTAATTAGGAATCTGAAATTAGTTTTTTTATTGATTAAACACCGGATGCGTATAAGCTAATGAAGAAGTACAATGATAGAAAGCTATCATAGACTGTTAACATTGATGACAACGGCTACTTTTAGTCACCAAGATTCAAACCATTTGAGTTATATATCAAACGGTGCAGAATTTCAAGGTCTTTCAGAATATATAAAAACTATTCCAGGACAACTGCACAAAGTTATGATATTTAGTAAAAATACTAAAAAACCATCATAAAAACCAACTGCCTTTTTTGACCCTATATTGAAATTATCGGCCAATAGGAAGCAGTCTGAAAATTCAAAAATAAATTAATTTTGTAGAAAAAATATTTTTACATCTGTTGGAATCATCCGCACGTCTAACGAACAAGTCATTGTAGAGAAAAATGAAAAATATGAGAAGCATCCTAAAAAAGCATTTTTTTAATTAAGGACCAAGATCTGTGTCAGAAAGAGCTAATATTTTGGATTTTAGACTTTCTAATGATGCAGTATTATTTTAGATATGTAAATCGAAACTCATAATTTTTTTAGGTGCTGGCTTTCTACAAACTCAGTAGGTACTCTCGCGGACTCGGTTTTAAACACTCTATTTTCACGGCAAAATTTGAGTATAATTATATATGTTACTTATTAAAGGTAAATTCTGTTATATAAATATTTAAAAAGAAAATAAACGCAGCTGTTATCAAAATACTTCAATCTGGCTTATGAATAAAAATTCTAATAAAGAATGAATGCTGATATATACGCCCTCTGATGTATTATTCTTTAGTCTAGAAAACCAATACGGAGAATTTAAATGACTCATCATATATTGTTTACTTATTCAAACGATTCTTTCATATATATTTCAGTTAATAAATTCCAGAGTAAAAACTTGTCGTAGAGTGCCTCGATTATTTTTTGCTATACATGTTACTGTCTGGTTTAATTCAGATTCGTCATTTATCATTGGTATGATTTTATAATCGATTGTATTCGAGATAATTTTTTCTTTGTTTAATATTTTAATATCACCTAAAAACCATTGATGACTAGGTATTGGATTTCCATTTATTGAACAATGTAAAATATTTTCTATATTTCTTTTAATTTTAATCAATACATATTCACTATTTTTAGGTTCTATATAATAAGGTGGACCTAATAATTAAGATAACATTCGAGATAGTGTTTTATTTTATAAAGTATAAAGAACATACCATAAACATCTAGATAAATATTCGATGTTAATGAATAACCTTGATTATCATCATTAGTTGTTACTCGACATGTGTATATTCCTGAATGAATATTCGAAATATTTTTAATTCGTAAATAATCATATCCTGTTAGTGACGAGACACCTTGTGAAGAATCTTTTGGTATAATAAATGTAAACCAAGCAGGTAGTGCAGAGAATATTGGACATAGTAATGTTATTGTATCAATTATTTCGGAATAGATATGTAATTCTCGATTAGATATTTCACGCGGATTACCGCCAACTAAGAAAAATCTGTATGATAGATTTAGTTTTCACAGAGATAAACTCACCACTAAGAAAATAAACTCGAACACCTACTAGACCATTATTCAATCGAACTATACATTCATAATATCCTTCATTTTCATGTTTTATATTTTGAAATTGAATATAATTTGAATGTTGTCGTATATGTTCAAAATGCTGAACAAAATCAATATGAAAATCAGCTATATCGTCTTTTGTATATGCAATATTTTCATCAGGGCCACAATATCTTTCTGTATTGTTAATATGAGTATCAATAAATACTTGATCATAACCTTCAAATCGATAATCGATTAATTCCGTCGCTAAAAAACAAATGAATCATCAGAAGTAAAAGTTTCCTTTTTATTATGAACTTACGATCATTAGTAAGAAAAAAATGTTTTTCATCAATAAGTTTTCCATTCGAATCTTTTATTTGACAAATAGCAATTCCTTCGTTAATTACTGCAAATGAATTTATTACTAAATCAGATTTATTAATAATATTTATTCGACCGTCATGATCATAGAGTATCCATGAAATATATTCATCTTTTGTTAATGGTCTATTTGTTTCACATGTTCGTTCGAAATCTGTACCTATTTGTAGGAATTGTTTTGGTTTAAATTTCCAAGTAATAAGTTCTATATGAAAATAATGATGTTTTTTTTTCGTTATAGATATTTCGTCAATTAGAAATTATGCCTCGAAAACGAACTGTTTCATCAACATCGAATAAAGCAAAAAAAACGACTTCCATCTTATCTTGATTTTGATCATGACTCTTATGGTTGGAAAGCAAATATTGATTATCGTGAACATCCTGAACTCTATCGAATAGGCCGTGGAGAACAAGGTGTATTAACATGTCAACCCTATAAAGGTGAAATATGCCCACATTGGCGTTTTAAAACTGTGCCTGAAGCTATTGAATCATCGAATAAAATTTATGAAATGTTTTTAAATTATCTTAAACAAAATGATTTCGTTGGTGCTGATATGGCACGAAAATATTTACAAATGGGTTTTACTCGTTCAAGACGTTATGCAAATCATGCTAGTGGAACAAAATATGATCAAACAACTTATGATATATTACCACAAGAAGAAACTCACATGAATAATGAAAAAGCTCGATCAGCTGAAATTTTTAAACAAAAATGGTTCGAAGCAAAAGATAATGATTTATATAAAGAAATGGCTACTAAACATCGAACAACATATGAAACGAAACCAACTAAAACTCGACGAAATACTGTTACACATAAAAATGAATAAGTTTTAATGTTTTATGTAAATATTGTATGTATATTCAAGCAAACTATATCGAATAAAAATTAATTCAGAGATATTGACTCTATGCTAAAGATATGTGGAACCGGAGCCTCTATTCTACATTTAGATCGAAATATAAAATTTCTTTTACCTGCATTAATAGAATTTATACATATAATCATGTAGATAATGATAATTTTCATAGTAAAAATGAGTATTTACTTTTGCCGCCAATATTACTTTATTTTTATTCGGTTATTTCTCAAAATTACATGGCAAATGTAATCGAGTTGAATACAATAGACAAAATGAAGTGATTTGAAAACACATAATTTGAGAGATAAATGATTGATAGATTGAAAAAAAGAGAGAGAACATAATGCAAATAGAAGTTTAGAATAGCGATGATAATCATTATTGTAAGAGAATAGGTAGAAAAAGATGTGAGAGTATTTTTATGATAAAATAGCAAGATAAAGCAAATTAAATACGTTGATCAATAAGATTATCAAGCGAATGAAGATATCTGGCATCATATTCATACAATTGAAAAAAGACAGAACTTAAAAGGTAAAAGCAACAATAGAGAACAAATAAAATCAATGTTGATTTGAATTAGAAATTGTTTTCATTGACCAAAAAAAACATATTTAATTTGAATAATACATCGTATCCTTTCTCTTACGACAACATAAAGCCATTGCAAAGATAAATGCCGCTAACTAAATATATATATATATACACATAAATAAGTAAACATGAAAAAACAAATTACTTCAATAACAAGAATAAGAACTGCTCCGATAATAATCCATGTCTTGGCAGTATTTATTAAATCCATAAATTTATCATAACAACCCTAAAATAAAATAAATATCCTAACATATAATATAAATTAAATAAACTCACTATTGTATAAGTATTATTTCCTGTCATAGCACAAGTAGCAGCCGATTGTAATTGAGCAGAATTAAAATCATTCCAATTCGCTGTAAAAGCATTACCCATATTACAGCATGTTAATGGATATTCAAAATTCGTTGAATTTCCCAATGATGCATTTGCCCATATATTTGTTCGATTCCATTTTTTTGTTCCATCAAAATCACTTCTATTATAAACACCACAACATTGAAACTATACAAAAAGAAAGAAATAAAAAAAACTAAATTATACATAATTAAAAATGATTACGTACATTATACATAATAAAATCCCACGCAATTGAAATTCCTGATGGTTTTGATACATTTGTATTACTTATTAAACCCAATGGACCTTCATATGTATTTTGAAGAGCGTCTTTTAATTTTGGTTTTATTTGATCTTCAAATTTCGATTTAAAAGCAACAAAATAAATTGTTATTGCTACTTCGAAAAGTATGATTATTCCAATAATAATACCATACTTAGATAAAAAAATAGATAAAATACAATAAGGAAAAAAGATAAACTTACAAGTATTAAAAATATTTTCACTTGTTTCATAGCACCACAACATCCAAGAAATCCAATTATTAAAAGCACACCACCAAGAACAAGAATAACAATTGCAATTACTGTAAGATATGATAAACCTTGCTCAAGTTCAGGATCTAAATGAATAATAGAAAATTATCTATTTATTTACTTTTATTTCAATATTTACTGCCATCAATTGGAAATATTTTCTTTATTTTTTGAAGTGATGGATCAGCTAAGACATATATTCCAACTGCGATAAGTGCAAGACCAATTAACTAATAATTAAGAATAAAATTTTTATATTATTAAATCAAATTAAACAAACACTTACGAAAAAGATGATATTAAATGCAACCATCACAAATCGCATTGTTTTCATTCCACAACTCATACCACCGTGTCCCATTTTCGTATATAATCTGAAAAATGTTACTTCTAAAATAAATTTTTATTTATTTGTAAATGCGTCAAATAATAAAAAAATGTCATGACTAACAGACAAATGCGCATCAGGTTTTTTTTCTCACATACTCGTCAAGAGAAGAAAAAAAAATGAATAATTATATGATCCTAGTTTTGAAATAGAACTAATTAGTAGAAAACTATCTATTTGAATAGAAAGGATTATGGCTTCAGAAGGAAATGAACCTTCTAACGAGATATATGTCAAACAAATATTAATATCGGATTATTATTCTTTTTTTATATGTGAAATTGTAGACTGTTAAAATATTCCATACTACACAAATATGATTGCATATTACTAGGTGAAAAAGAATAAAAAAGCTGAAAAAATCAATCCTCTTTTACTTAATCGAAGTGTACTTTTTTTTCTTATTAAAATCCCTTATATATATATATATATTCAGTTATAATAGTCTTTACCTGAGTCGTTAAGAAAAAAAATGTATGCTTCCTCTCTTTTTTCTTTCTATTAACACTAGTAGAATATTATAGAATAAAAAAAAAGGAAGTTTTTCGCATTTATAAAAATTAACTGAATCATACGGTATAAGCTATAGCCGAGGTTAAGCAAACATTGATAAACCAACCAGTTTGATCTAATAAAAGCAGTTTGTCATGTCTGAATTAATTCTTGTTATTGAAGATCAATACATGTCAAATAAAGAATTTTCTTTAAAACTTAAATTGAATCAAACGTGTTTCTATTCTAAAGAAAGCTATGAATAAATAAATAAATCAAGAGTAACTAAGACACCTTTATATTTCATATCGATAGGATAATGTGTGTAATATGAGTTGACGACTATTACCTTATATACAGTATTATTTTCTTGTAATATAGACTAATATTGACACTCGTCTCTACTTATACAGTTATAAAGTAAAGGAAATAGGACATTAAGAGAAGATGAGAATGAATACCAAGTAGATGATGATTGTTAATAAACAGAATAATATACTTTTATTTCACTAGCCTACCATTTTTTCTCTCTCTCTCTCCCCCGATATATGTATTACATACGTCATTAAAAATGTCAGGGAATGAGAACATCGATTCTTCTATTGATATTTATATATGAGAAGGTTGTTAATATATTAGTCAGAATTTTTATATTTATATTAGAAATAAAAAGAAAATTGAATGAGAAGTAACACACACCTACCTTTTTTTTTTTTGGTTTACAAACTAAACATCGAAATAGAACGATGAGAGAGAGTTATACCAATAATCAAAATTCAATGAATATTTCTTTTTTACTAACTCATAAGATTAAAAGTGTCTCTTTTCATGACATCACAAGTAATATACACCTATGGTCATATTACTCAATACTACTGGAATATTCATGATAAAAAGAAATCAAGTAGTAATACATATATATGAATTTAAACATTTTTTTTCTTCTTTCTCATAAATCATTATACAGCTTTTCAAACATACTGTCAAAATTATTACATAGTTTTCTTTCTCTTCATTTGTCGTTCGTTACTAGAACTGGTTGTTAAACAGGAAATGAACGAGTGGAACCAGAAAAAAGTTGGTACACAATGCGAACGGTAAATGCAGAAAAAAAAGAAGAAGAAGAAGAGAAAGCATAAGCTACCTATGCTTAAAAAGAACGACAAAATAGAAAGTTCTATATTATTTTATTACACTATAGTACGTGTTCATATGATTTACAAAAAAAAGCTGATGAAGACAAATGAATAGTTCATTATATAAGATCTATTATTGATTCTGTGCACGAAGAATTAATTGAACGTATAGCATCTAAATATAAAACTACAGAAAAAAACTATATTGATTGTTCTATATTCTTAAATTTTACTCAAAAGACATATTCAAGGTCTATCTTATTTCTATTCACAAAAAAATTTTATTGTCTTGTTCAATATTTGACATAATATGATGAATTTTAATACACGATAGACATTTTTTCTTGCTGTAAAAGACACTTATTAAAAAGAGACATGTATATGGTAGGAAAAAGGTGATGTTTACGTTGACTTTCAGACAAGTTATTATTTTTTTCTAAAATTCATTTTTCTATTTAAACTACACTCTCGCTTGATTGTTTTTTTTAAAAAAAAAATTTTACTCGTCGGAAACTTCAAGTTTTTCTCTCTTTTTTTTGTTGTTACTGTCGTGGGAAGTGCAACAATACTTAGACGAGAAATTAAATATTTTTGCTGAAAAACAAAAGACGATGATCATTTTCTTTTTTTCTTTTATTTTACTGACAACATCTTTTCACCCTTTTTTTTTTTTGTAATTTAACTTTAGACTTTACTTGAAGTCTTTTCTAAACTATGGGTAGTGCAGCATCAAAACGTCGCGCTGAACGTGATAATGATTCGCTTATACAAACATTAGATGAACATGAAAGTGCTGTCAATTGTATGGCATTAAGTAGTGATGGAAGTGTACTAGCTACAGGCTCCGATGATCATAATATTCGTTTATGGAGTGCTAAAACAACACCAATTGAATGTTTAAGTGTATTAACTGGTCATGGAGATTATATCACACATGTTCTTATTGATGAAACTTTTTTAGTCAGTGCTAGTGCCGATCGTACTATGCGAAAATGGGATATGACTAATGCGCAGTGTGTATTTGTCTACTCTGGTCATACATCCCTTATAAATCGAATTGTTTGTACTGGTAAGTAGAATATTTCTCTCTCTCGAAAATTCAACTAAAAGAATAATTTAATGATGAATAACAGTAAACATTCAAGAAGTTCTACTGAAATAAATATGTTAATTGATGCATAAAAAATGAATTGTTTTCCTATATCTATATACCCTTTTATTTCTATTACTAATTAAATTCTTTTCTTTTTCTCTTTTTGACAAAAAATAAAAATGTGTTTAAAAATTTTTATTTTTTATTTTGTAGGAGATTTTCTCTTTTCAACATCATATGATCGAACAGCTCGTTGTTGGGATTTCGATACTGGCGCATGTGTACGTGTATTTCGCGGCCATAAACATGGTATATTACCCATATTATTTATTCCAGCAGATCAAGATGGCGGTGAAGAAGATAATGAAGATGAGACAGATATGTATAAAAAAGATATTATAATAACTGGTTCACAAGATTCAACAGCTAAAACATGGTCATTCGAAACTGGTGAATGTTTAAAAACATTTCGTGGTCATACGGGAGCCATACTCTGTTTAACAAGTGATCCACTTGGAAAAACATTATTTACAGGATCAGGTGATAATACAATTCGTGCATGGGATATTTATCGTGGAACAGAATTACATGTTTTTGATCAACATCAAGCAGCAATAATAAATCTTCTTGTAAGAAAAAAAGATTGAAAATTTCTATACAAAAATTTTTTTTTTAGTGTTTTAACAAATTACTATTTTCAATTAGTGCGGATCATACAGCACGTTGTTGGGTTACGGATGTTGGTGATTGTACACGGATTTATAAAGGACATAAACATACTGTTTCTTGTATTCAAGTTGATAATGGCCTTGGTATGTTACACTATACTATTTCATTTTCTTTTTGATGAAAATTCACTTGTTTTAATAGTTTATACTGGTTGTGGTGATGCTTTAGGACGATGTTTTGATGCACGTTCTGGTGCTATAAAACGTACATTTAAATCACATGCACTCGGTATTAGTTGTATGCAGGTATATGTCATTTGTTTTTTATTTTAATTTCTTTTCAAAAAAGAATTTTTTTTTATTTAGATTGCTAATGAACGATTATTTACTGGTTCTGTTGATGCTACAGTAAAAGTTTGGGATATAAGTGATCTTAAAGGAGATATTATACCAGATTTAAAAACCGCAAGAAGTAATGATGGACGAGGTGGTAGTGCAGAAAATCGATCTGATGATGTAGATTCTGGTATTGATGATCGTGAATATCGTGATCGACGTGCACAAAACATGGTGTGAAAAGAAAGAAAATTTTCATTTAATGAGTTATAAATAATAATAAAAAAAAAGTTTTTTTTTTCGTGCAAATTTCAAATTTTCAAAAAAAAAAATAAATAAACACATATTTACTCAAATTTTATTAAAAAAATTTCCACACTTTTTTTCTGTCTTTTCTATACATAAGTTACATTTCCACGTATACAAACAGTTCCTCGTGCCTGATGATCAGTTATCCATATACATTGTGTTGGACTAGTTTGAGATTGAGTTGTTGATGTTGATAAACTTGTTGTTGGTAATGATAATGCATGAGGACGTAATGACGCTATTGGAAGTCTAGTAATCGGCTGACGAACGCCAAGCGTTTTTACAAAATCGTCATAAGATGGAGGTGGTAATGTTGATGATGGATCATTACCAACGATGCTTATATCTGGATGAGAAGGAAACAATTCTTTATATGATGGTAAATCAGTGTTATCGCCCATGATAAAACTTAAAGAAAAATCAATGTACATATTTACATTTCTGTTTAAACAGAAAAAAAAACATACGTAGAATGAAGATCACTATTTGCAGCTAATACTGAATCATAAGCTTGTTGTCGTTCACGTAATCTCTGAATTAAGAATAATTTTTTTCCATAGATATAAAAAATTATGATTAATTTATTTACTTACTTGAATTAATCGACGCCTAGTTCTCATTATTGTAAAATAGCGTCGTAATGTTTGACATGTACGTAAAAATGATACAATAGCAACAGTTAATAGAATAGCAGCAATAACATTTGAGCCTTCTTTCTTGTTTGGTATATTATTTATCGAGAATTTAAATAAAATAAATGCAATAGTAAATAGAAAAAACGAAAATATAAAACGACATAATATATTTGATACAAATTTACAAGTACTCATATGAAGTGTATGATGTGTTGTTGTATGATGATGTTGTCCGTTTGGTGGTGTTGACGATGGACGAGTACGTGGATGTGAATGAAATATTTGTCCATGTTGACGATAGTATGGCATAAAAATAACCATTTTGTTTTGTTTTTTTGTATTTAATTTAACTTGTTTATTACTATGATTTTGTATATGGTCGATCACCAACAAGTTAGAATACTGGTTTTGTTTGAACGTTAGTTTTCTCCATATAAACGACGACGAATGTCGAGAATAAGAACAAAAAAGAAAAGAAGAACAAGAAGAGAAATATAAGAAGAAAAAAAAAAGATGATAGTGCTTCCCAATGTGTTTGGTTACATACAAACGTTTCTCTGTTAGAAGAAATGTTTTCCCGCCAGGAACACTATATGAGAAAAGGATTGCAAGAATGATGTCATACACATCGATAGAAAAGAAGAAGAAGGACGAATAGATAAGAAAAGAAAGAAAAAGAGAGAACTGGTATATCTCTCTTTACAATTCCCGAGAAATAGAACAGAACATATAAATACGCAAGAGACAAACTAGTGCAACGATATTAACGAAACATACTAGCTAATTTTTAGAATCATGGGAGATGGAATCGATCAACTAGACGGCGGCTATAATGATGATGATGATAGACAAACATGATTGTCGTTGAAAAGACATGATATAGTCATTATGACAAAGACACGATCTTATATTGACTTTAGTATATACTTTAATAAATAGAATTTGATGTATCAATTTAATCCTAAAAAAAGAAAATTTTACTTCTAGGTAAATATAATTATCCTATGCTTCATTGAATAGCTTCTTACTTAACAATTAAAAATATTATTTTTGTTAAAAACATGTAATAAAAAAACGACCGAGAGGAAGAAAAAATAATTAAATGTTTTCATATAAAATAATTATGGATCTATTCGTTATCATTTATAAATTAATTATATATGTAAGTAATACAAAAAAAAGAAGAAAAACCTATTTCTTTTCTTTTGTTTAATTTATTTCTTTCAACTAAATATTAACGTCGTCATATGTAAAACAATTGTTGTATAACCTTATGAAAGAATATTTTTTTGTCATTATAGGTCATTTCCAGCTGGCTTCGATTTACTGTTATCCTTATCTATCTATTGACAAAGATCTTGTTGATAGAAATAAATAATCATCTATTGTAATTATCTATACGACAGATGTTCAAGAAAATAATATATTTCTTAGAAAAATTCAAACAAAAATATTTCTATAGATGACTGCAAGATTTTCTTTTTTATTGATGAGTGAAAAATGATAAGAATATAGCATATACGTGTCATGCAGCGATAGAATTTGAGAGACAGTGATTGATTTCTCTCTCTAGAGGAAACACATAAACAATTAGTAATATTTATGAAATGTCAAAAACAAAATACAGATGATTTAAAACAAGAAAAATATATTATTTGTCAATTAACTCTAGTTATTTATTAATATTTGGAGTTGAATGCGTTTTTGATGAACGAAGAACATTACGAAAATCAACTTGAACTGTTTCTGTTGGTAATTTTCGTCGTAATGTTTGATTTCTATCACCAAAACCAGTTTTACGTAGATTATTTTTAAGTTTACTAACATCATCGGATGTTAATACTACTTCTCCGACGAGACTCGATGCACTTGATGTTAATAGACCAGCTGCTTTATTTTTATTTAGACTTGATGATAAGGATAGACGATGTCTGGACTGAGAATCATTTTGTCGTACGTTATGGTTAGAATGATTGATATGACGAAAGGTTAATGACGATGAATTATCGTCTATTTCTGTTATATTAGGTGGTGGAGAGACGGGTCGAAATAAATTAGAAAAAACTGGATTTGTAGATTTTGCTCTAGAAAAAAAGAAATTATCATAAATAAAATAAAAAAAAAAATTCTTACTGTTTCGTAGCAAACATTTGTTTTAATTCGTCTACTGGAGTTTTTACTGTAACTGGTGGTGATATCTGTTTTGATTCTACAACTGGACTTATCATAGTAGCTGGTGCTGATTCCATTCGTTCAAAAATCTGAACTTTATTACTAGTTTGTTTCAAAACTTCCGGTGGTGGAAAAGGTGGAGCTTGTGGTATATTAGTTATCGGTGGTGCTGTTAATGGTCGTGGTGGAATTGTTTTATCAATTACTTCCTCTTGTTTTTTTTCAAGAATTTTTTTATTTTTCATATCGATAAATTCTTTATAAATTGTATCATAATATTGACATAAACGAACAACATTACGTTTCTTTCCATTTAATTTCAATGTATTTTGTGACTGAAGTTTCAAATTGTGCGTTTTTGATACTGATTGATATTTATGAATATTTTTTTCTTTTTCAATTGAATTCGAATTACTTTTTTCAAGATTTGTTAATTGTTGATATAAATGACTACCGAATAATTCAATTTGTTTTAGAAAATAAGATAGTTGAATTTGTTGATTACGATAATGAAGAAGACGACGTTTAAATTGTGTTTGTTCATACCACATTCTCCAATAACTTTGAATAGTTAGAGTAGCTGTTGACGATTTTTTCAATGCAGTTCGAACAAGAAAACCACGTACCATAGCTTGAACACGTGCTACTGATTTATCATAATCGGATTTAATAATATTGACGTTCGTAACTTGATTTTGTTTTCTTATTAAATACATTCGTATACGTGATTGTAAACGAATAATTTTTGTTATTAAATCTTTATATGCAATATTTAATTGTTCAATATGATGAAATTTTAAAAATATTTTTGTTTTACCAATAGCATAATCATTAAAATGAAATTTTTTCAATATTAATTCACATAATTGTTTATTATTAATTTTTTGATCTTTAAAATTAATAAGACATGAATAAACCGATATAAAATCATCGAAAATTATTCGATGTGAATAACCATGTCGGCGTATTTCAATTGTTTCAAGTAAACCACTGTATCGTATTTGTTCAAGTACAACATTTTCATCAAATTGACTTGTATCAAATGTAAAATTTTGTGGAAAATAACTTGTATGATCATATGTTACATGTGATATTTGACATGGTAAACGATTTGGTACAAGACAACGAATAAAAGTTGGTTGTGCGGATGCCATTGTACTAACTAATTCCATTAATGAATAACGAAAATATGTTGATACAGTACCTTGTGTACGATTTGCAGTTGTAGTTTTTTGATTTATTGAACGAAATAAAGATGCTGCTTTATCTTGTTTATCTTGTTCATTATAAATCACGCTACCGGTTTTACGAAGACGACTACGAAAAAGTAAATTAACAAGATCATCTTCACTTTGTAAAAGTAAATCAGTTATTTCCATAGGTACATAATCACGATTTTTTTCAAGAAAATCTTTTGCTGTATATTCAATCTTTCCAGCATAATGATGAATAGTAAATAATGGTTGCTGATCAAGTAATAATTGTTTTT